CATTCAGATATCATGGAACACACCGCAAAATTATCCAATGTCTGATATACTGGGGTACAGAGTTTCTCTTTTCGGAGGTGACCGTTATCGGACGAAGGCGGTGGCATCAAATAAATTACGCGTAACCCCCCTAATTGAGCAATTAACGCCATTTACGAAATACTCAATCTCCATATATGCTGACGTTAAGATTACTGCTTTAATTATTTTACCTGCTACACTGGGACCTGTCACATTGCCCTCAGGTTAGTAACGTTGAGTGATTTATTTGCTCTCATTGTTTCCTATGTTAGGTAAGCCATTAGTTACCTAACCTTTGCAGGCTTAACATGCAGAAATTCACGTTGTTAGAAGCTGAGCATGTTGGATCTAGCAACAAGAAAAATGAAAGTGCAAAGGAAACAGAAGGCAGTGGTACGTGTCGCGACTGGGCAGAAAGCCTTTAATAAATGTGTCCATTTATGTTTCCAGAAAGTAACATTTGTAGGACTAGTGAGCTTTGAATGGAAGATAACTTACCCACGATATTGGCAAACTATAAGCTAGTGGGATAATGGACTTACGGCGGGCGGGCACCAATAAATAATTTGAAAAAAAAAATGTTTTTTCTCAGAAAGAAATTAGTAACAAACATGTACGGCAGAATTAATTTGATCAAACAAATTTTGTGACTGCTCATTAGCTGCAGCCTCTCTTTGCATGGAATGATTAACAAGTGTATAAGAACACAATTAACTATCAACAAAATCGATTATAGCAAGGTTAATTTGCGCGCAGGTGAACATCCATATTGTCGAATTAACTTGGGAATGGGCGAAAATTTGGAGAAAGGAATAACACAAAAAGAAAACAACAGGACGAGTTAATGTAGGCTGATGGTCACTAAGGCAGCTGTAGGTCAGCCATATGTTCTAATTGCTTGCATAGGTCGAGTTTCTCCCGCCGTATATAGACTGCTTCCATGTAGCGTAATGTCTGGTTTGTTCGTGCACGAACAAGAAGTCAGAAAGATGTTTTCGGATCGACCGAGTGACCACTTAATTTTGACTGTCTGTACTAGCAGAAATCACTTAGATCCAACAAAACATGTTCTGGACAACCGCAATAAATACAGGAAGTCCTTTTGCAAGAATTTCACTGACGACTACTTTCCACTGGACGCAAAGTAAATGATTCTCAATTTATCAGATCTAAAACGAATGAAAGTATAATCAGAGGCTTTATCATTAGGATTATGCTTTTGTGTTCCAAACAGAAGAATAAACCCAGTTGAAATTGAAGCCCAATTTTGAGACTTAAACTCTCAGTTAGCAGACGTAATACCAGGTCAACTGACGATTTGGGGTGGCTTGAAGCAAAATTTGTGGACATTGCTCACCAATATCGCAACGCTCCTGTGACAAAGGAACATATGGCTGCCCTCACCACGCTTAAACACGACAAGGAAATATCAAATTCTAAACCAGACGAAGGCAATAGAGTTGTCATTTTCAACCGGAAGTTTTGTGGGAGAAAAATGGGAGCTATTTTGGGTGACCAGAGCAAATTGTGTCTAGGGGTGTCAGGCAAAGATCAAACCGAAACACTGGAAGGCTGTTAAAAAGTTGCAAAACAAAACACCTGATTGGTACTGCAACTGCATTATCTTTAAAACCTAAAGGAACACACATCCCAGACTATATGGTCTGCCCAAAACGCATACGAAAGACATACCCTTGCGGCCAATTTTGTCTATGACTAACTGTCGTCAACACAAACTAGCGCAATAGCCCATTAGGAGCCGGTCCTCCACTTACATGACAAGGCATGTTTTTCAATTTGTTAAAGAAATTAAGTTTCAAAATATTGCAAACAAATTCATGATTTTTTGGCGTTGAATCGTTATTTATAAACGTACAATTGGGCGAGGCAATCGACGTCATATGTATTCATGCGTCCGATCCCTGTCTGCCACCTGATATACTAAGGGAATTGCTTACACTATTTACGAATAATGTGCCACTTCTCTTTAATGGGCATTGGTATGGATGAATCAATCGAGTGCCAACGGGAAGTCCACTTGGACCTACTTTTGCTTACATATTCATTGGTCACTAAGAAAACTTGTCATTAAAATTAACAAGACAACTTTATACGGACGTTACGTCGATGGTATCTTCACTATAGTTAAAACCAAACAAGACACTGAAAACCTTCTTTGATTCACGATTAAATTGCATCTAAAGATACAGTTCACGATGGAAATGGAGCAAAACATCAAGTTGCCTTTTCTTGACATCCTCTTGTTTAGAAAGGATGATGGTTCAACTTGGCGAAGTGTTTATAACAAGACAACCTGGAAGGGCCAGTACCTACCCTTTACAAGGTTTGTGCCAATCCAGTGGTAACGAAACTTTTTACTAACTCTCTTCCAACGAGCTGATCAAATTTGCACCAATGAAACCTTACCAACAGAAGTTGCCCCCCTCAATGATGACCTACTTAAACGTGGATATCCTTCACGTTTCATCCAGAAATAGAGCAAATAAGTACGGCTGAAAATTACGGAACAGTTGGTTCCGAAAAAGCCAGTTTTTTATAACTTTACCTTAAAGGGGTGACAATGTATCAAATACAATCAAACGACGTTTGATATGCACCATAGAGAGAACGTACAATGCAGCTGCATTGGTGTTCCTCAGCCCCATTAAAGGCCTTCCCGTTAACGGGACAAAGGGTGCCTTGCCTTTGCACGCCATTCCAAACTGCATCTATATTTTCACGTGCACTTGCGAATGCAAGTACATTGGGCGAACGCAAAGGCAATTGACGATCAGGGCAGCTGAAAATTTACCTTTTTGGCTTTTTAAACAGGAAGACAAATTACCTTCATCTTCTATTACAAAACATCCATTGGACAGTGGTCACTCTTTGTCGAACCGAAAGCAGCTTTCCGAGTTCTTGCTCAAGCACCAACAAACCGGACATTATGCTGCATGGAAGTAGCCTATATACGGCGGGAGAAACACGAACTATTTAAGCAATTAGAACATGTGGCTAAACTACAGCTTTTTAAGTGACCAGAAGCCTATATTTACTTAAACTTTGGTTTTGTTTTTGTATTATTCCTTTCCCCAAATGTTCGCCCCTTCCAAAGTTAAGTCGACAATATGGATGTTCACCTGCGCGCAAATGGACCTTGCTATAGTCGAATTTTTTGATTGTGTAGTTGTGCTATTTCCTACTTATTAATTATTCCATGCAAAGAGAGGCTGCAGCTGATGAGCAGTCACGAAATTCGTTTGATCAAATAAATTCTGCCGTATATGCTTGTTAAATCAGTAATTGCCACTAATACCCCATCTCCCTTATCAACCCCATTTATGCGTAGCTAACGTTTGGTGTGTCTTTAGATGGTCATACCATTTCTTTGATAGCAGAGCAATGGTAAGGCAGAAGTTGACGTGTGTATTCAGCATAGTTTATATGCTTTTGTAATATAATGTATCCAAAATGTGCAAATGTCGGAATAAGTTTACTGCGCCATAGCAAACGAATGAAATAACAGGATTTTTCATACTTATCAAGTATTTGCTTTTGTATTTATGAAACACCTGAAACAATTCAAATGCCATGATTGTGTGACGTATTTCCATTGGACGTATTTCCATTGGGAATTAATGATCGCGCTTATCGAATAGGCCTGTCTTATAAAAAAAAACGTGTGTTCCTTGTTACTTTTTATTTTATCGCTGTGGAGCGGCTGACGTTTTTGATCCTTTTTAGTTGGGAAAAAAGTATTAGATCTCACATTAACCGCAAAGGATCCAAGATCTGTTCATGCAACCTGGAGGCCGCCAAGCGAACCACTGGGCATCATTGAGGTCTTCGAAATTTCTGCTCTCAATAACAAAACAGGCAGTGAGGTGGAATACGTTTCTAAGGAGTCTGCGATCACTCTGACTGGCTTAGACCCTTCGACAACCTACACCATTTCCGTATCGGTGAGGAACAAAAAAGGCGAATATGATAATTTGCCGTTGGGTAAGTATCCTTCTGATATTATATTTGCCTGATAAGGCAATTAATCTGAATAACGCATCCTACTACGATATTTCAAAAATATATAATATATCTTCCTTCCATGCAATGTATTTGTACTGTTTTTATAACGAGCAGTACTCACTATTCTAGAAACGACAGGCGGTGGCGGTGGTCTCGGAGAGAGGGTGTCAGGCGAAGTGGAAACTTTGTCCTCAGGTAAGTATCTCTCTGCTATCTGATGGTATTATGACTGATCAAAGGAAGTGATTCTGAATGATGCATCATCTTACTATCAGTCAGCGTGTTATGACGCATTTATACCTTCGTACCCTTTTATTCATATTTATTCAGAGGATGAATTGGCGAGCATATGTTTGTTTTCGATTAATTCGCGTCAGGCATGAGCCGAGCTGTATCAACCACTTTCTCAGCAGCCTACGCCCATGTACTGTTCTCGACTACTCCCATCCTATACGGAAAGATCAAGTATAAAATGCCAGCCCAGAACACCTATATGCACATACTTATGACGACCGCAACAACGTAAGAGAAAAGGAGCATGGCCCGCAATCTCGCGTTTCATGTCAGGGTGGAGACATGCATAACAGTATATTGCGATCGATTTCTTACATAAATAGAAATCCAATCGATATAAATAAATATCTCCAAAAAGTTAAAATTGTGCATTCAGAATGGGGCAAACCAGTCGGTTCTAAAAAAAAACTGTCAATAACGAAAAATAATAATCGCGAATACAACCGCTATCGATGGTTTAAAAGGCAGCGTTTGGTTTATTTTTTTCCGATGTTATGGAAGTTAACCGTCACGGCATTCACGTTCTGTTTCAAATAACCTGTTGAACAGGAGGTGCGAGCAATTGTTTCATAAGTCTTTGCATGGTTCTAGGCGCATTAGCCAAACCAAAAGGGGCATGGTTTCGGATTCGTATAGTCCAAGGGGAATTCAGGAGGCAGTTTTCGTAAGGTCGAAGGTAAATTTATGAGGCACTAGGGTTGTACTTCTGTAGTAGACATTGGGGAGACGCAAGTGCTAATTGGATGTCATTTCAGCGTGCACTAGACAAAACTGCAATTCAAAGTCACCTAGTTCATCCATCAGAGTTTTCAATTGCCCTGGAAACCTGGATAAAAAGGAAGGGGTGGGGTGAATAATTAGACCGCATGTCACCCACTGCTAAGACAGCTGCTTCGACTAAATCGTTTTGTGCTAGTCTCTGAGACGGCCGGTATATAGTTTTTAATCCAAAGCCTATTCTCGAAACGATGAACTCAGTCACTTCTCCTATGTCACTAGTGTATGGCAGAGTGTGTTTTATCCTCGGAAGTGTTTTTATCCCAGGCTAAACACGTAGGTATCCGCCTTCGGAGAGCCAGTCCATGAACCTTGGTCAGGGCAATATCAGATATCGCGTGCTGTTTCCTCTGTCTTTTCGCAATGACTATTTATGTGGCTGGAGTGCTTTCACGCACGCAGTTTCTTCTGTGAGCTATCGGACGACTGATGCGAAGGCTGAGAAATCATATGGTGTGCATTGCCTCAATCCGAAAGTCTGCACAATTTAAAACTGGCACTTCGGTAGACAAAGGCATCAACGAAAGACATTAACTGCTCCTGTGCTTATTCTTACATGAGTGTAATATTAAAAAAAAAGATTCGATTTGGCAGGTAACAGACGTGTAGCGCCATGGCTTCTTTCACTATAACAGTGTCAGCGGGGCAATTATAGCGTTGTCTTCGTGTAAAGGCCTTTCCTGATGTGAGGGTTGGAGACCCGCCGACACCGCGAGTTCTCTCACAATTGGGTCAACTAGATTATGGAAATCTGCCAAAACTCTTAAAATTCTTATCTAGCGACGTTAAAGCCAATGTATAAAAAATTAATGTCGGTGTTAGATATTATTTGCACGGATCATGTAAGCTTTGTGATACGGAGAACATTTGCCTTTAAATAGAGGACGCAAGTTGCTTTTTTAAAAACTTTTCAACACGCGCTTTGAATATTCCCCGTAGATGCTGAAATACCCAATGACGTAAGGGCCGTTGCCCTCAGTTCACAAAACATTCAGGTGACATGGAAGCGTCCCAATTACACTTTGTCAGATGAAGAGGGCTACAAACTGGAGATAGTGGGCCAAGACTTCAGCGATGCCGTCATAGTTGGAACAGATGTGTTTTCACACACATTTTCCGGCCTGCAACCACTCACGGAGTACACCATTTACGTGCAGGTTCAAGACAGAATTCCAGGGGTTCTTCGACCAAGGAGACAAATATCAATGAGCACGTGGCCAGCAGGTAAGTCGCTATTTGTCAACGGTGAGCTCCTGCTTTCAAAGACAATGAAACACAGAACACTCTCATTTGCATGTTCTAAATGTGCGCAGCAATTAATGAAAGTTTGAGAGAAGGCTTTCTGGGAAGGGAATATGGAGGATTACTTAGGGAGATCTTTCGTTGATGAGCGCGTCTACTTTAGTTTGAACATATCCTTTGAATAAAGACCGATGACAGCAGAAGCGACAATCAACCTCTCGGCACAGTATGAACACACCACAATAGCCGCAGTCTGCTTGGGGTGCAATTGCTGGCAAAATGAACTTCATTTGCCTGAAATTTCCAACTGGGTCGAGAAACTGTCATCAGATTTAACCGTAGGATAGTGTGATGCATGCACAGATAAGGGTCATAAATCTGGGTGAGAATCAGCAAAGCGTCGGAAGTTGTGACCATTTAACATATTTTCTGACTGACTGACTGAATACCAGTAGATGGGGAAGACGCAAGTATGTGAGGGGATCATCACCAATTCGCCTGGATCAAAAAGGTGCTATGCAATTTAAATGCCGCGGCAAATATCTTGGTTGGGTGGTGGTGGCCGGGGGGCATCAACTTTATAGCAGCAAATTCCGCAGGGTGTTGTTTAAATAGAAGCCAGTTTCATTTAGGCCGATAAAGCAAGTAAACACCTCGGAGGAGCCTGTTCAACGTTTTTATATTGAAAATACCTGTGAACA